GGTCGAGGAGCACGACGCAGGTGTGCAGGCCGCGCAGGTGTGGTCTCGGGCATCACGCGACCGAGGAGAACGACGCAAGCGGACAGGTCGCGCAGGCGTGGTCTCGAGCAACATGGCCGAGAGGTGTGGCTCGGGCGACAGATAGCCCTGAGGGGGGCTCGGCAGTCTACGGCTGAGGGACACGACTCAGGCGGGCAGACCGCCTTGAGGTGGACTCGGCAGTCTACGGCCGAGGGACACGACTCACGCGGGCAGGCCACGCTGAGGTGGACTCGGGCAGTCTACGACCGAGGGATATGGCAAAGGTCGAGGGACACGACTCAAGCGGGCATGCCGCGTTGAGGTGGACTCGGGCAGTCTATGGTTGAGGGACGTGGCTTGGGCCGAGAGGCCGCCCTGAGGGGGGCTCGACTCAGGCGGGCAGGCCACCCTGAGCTGCCACGCCGTCGGCTTCATTGGTGCTCGTCGACTTCGCAGACCCATCTTTCCGATCCGGTCTCTGTGATTCTTCTCCGAGAGGGTAGGACCTGTGGGAGCTTTATCGGGAATGGCGGAGGCGTCGAGGGGAAGACCGAAGACTAAGATCGTGTGCACCTTGGGCCCGGCTTCGAGGTCCGTGGAGATGATCGAGAGGTTTCTGATGGCGGGGATGAATGTGGCCAGGTTCAACTTCTCCCACGGTTCCCACGCTTACCATCAGGAAACCCTAGACAGCCTCTGCGTCGCGATGGACAAGACCGGAATCCTTTGTGCTGTCATGCTCGACACGAAGGGCCCTGAGATCCGGATTGGGTTTTTGAAAGATGGCAAACCTATCCATCTACAAAAGGGCCAAGAAATCACTATCACTCCAGATTATAGCATAAAGGGTGATGAAAACATGATATCAATGAGCTACAAAATGCTAGCAGAGGATTTGAAGCCAAACAGTGCCATTTTATGTGCTGACGGGACTATTACACTTACGGTGCTTGCTTGTGACAAGGAGTCAGGACTGGTTCGTTGCCGCTGCGAGAATTCTACAGTCCTTGGTGAGAGGAAAAATGTCAATCTTCCCGGCGTTATCGTCGATCTTCCAACTCTAACAAAGAAGGACAAGGAGGATATCCTGAAATGGGGCATCCCAAACAAAATTGACATGATTGCCCTGTCCTTTTGATGAGGATAGTAATTATGATAAGACTCGGCTGACGTCAGATGACGCCTCATGCCTTGATCGACGCGACAGCACCTGATCAATGCAGATCGGAACGTTGACCGAGGCACATTAAACACCTTGCTCAAGCTTCGTTCTTCACGTCACGCCAATCCAAGCGTCAGACGCTACCAACCTACCCTCTGTAAGCGGGCAGTTCAGGAAGCAGTAAGCTTTCCTATAAATATCCTCTCGTTCATCAGAGAGAGGGAAAGACACACAAAAACACTTCTTCATCTGAAACCCCTCCATTATCATCTGACTTGATCGTTGGACGTGCAGGCGAGGAGTTCCTGCCCGGAGGAGACGGTTACACCGTCTCGATCGGACCATCGCACCCGACCACCCTAGCGGGCTCGAGGAACGCCCCAGGGAGATCCCCGTTGTTCGGACCCGAACCGAGCCGCGTCGGCCCCGAGGCCACGACTCAAAGTTGTTTCCCACAACAGGACCACTTACAAAAAAAAGATGTTACCGGGTTAAAAAAGATATAACTTTTAGGTCACAGGTAATGTGTATAGTAATATAATATGCACTTCTCGCCTATAATTAGTTGGGTTTGGGTGTTCCCTCTTAATATACTTCTATGGACTTTCATATATTGGTAATAATGTCTTTTTCTGCTGTTCAATTGAACATGCTTTATTGTTAGCCTAAGCAATAGCGTCCTGCTCGTTTAGGAGATTAGATTTGCTAGATTTATCTGCCCTGGAAATTAGTGTATTTTATGTGCAATGAATGGAATTGCTTGATGTTAATGACATCGGGAAGTATGACTATGACTACAAAAGATCTCATGTTCTCAAAATATCTAGTTATAGTTGAAATTGTGTTTTAGACAGTTGGTATCACATTATCCTTAGAATCGATTGGCTGGCCAAGTGGTGTTAGGTTTATTATCTGTTTTTCTATTGGTATAGCTCGTGTCTTGCATTAGGATGAGTGCATGTTTATATTGGTTGATTAGCCACATTTGTTTATGCTCATGATAAAGTCAACTATAATTTCTGACTTGGGCAGATACTGGTATGAAGTAATTAGTTGGAGTCTTGTAAAACAATGACTTATCTGGAATATGGGAAGTAGTGCATTTTATTATGTTAAAGCTGAAAATGGTGTTGTCTTGGGATCTCTGAAATAGCCCTATGATTTGGCAAACCTCAGCCTATTGTTTGCCAATCTGTTGTCTAATTGAATATAGTGGAGAATGTGCTTAATTGATCCCTGGTCTTATTGTTACACAGTTTCATGGTGGTTCCTTCTTGGGTTTCCAAAGCTAAACATACCATCAAAGAAGCTTTAGGAAACTTACTACAATGTAAAATTTTCATGTTAGTTTCTTTGAGACTTTATGTCTCCATTACATTGATCTTAACCAAGGTTTATGGGATGAGGGTCCTAGCATGGCTAGGTTATGCTGTTGTAATCTTGTGCTGAATTATAATGTCAACTTATTTTAGGAATGTATCAGTCGTTAGGAATATCATGTTGCATATAATTAGAAATTCTGCTTGTTTGTGTTTCTTTTAGCTTTAAATTTATTAGGACTTCTCTTGAATGCAACAATAGTAAATTGCATCTTAGTCATATTATAACTCAATCCCTGGTTTTTGTGGAAAGTTTATAATGCTTCTTTGGTTAGGACATGTCTTTGGACTGGTTTATGCTTTATATAAAAAAGGTGGATGATTTAATGAATGGTTAAACTATATTTTTTGTATAATTTTATATTCATTTTGTTGGTTTCAGATACCTAGTCTTTATTTCTTATAGCCTATTGTTTATTTTTCCTCTTATATTTATTCTCTACATAGAACTTTTCAAAGCATTTTTCGTGATTTATTTGTATTATTATGTAAATTCTTGAACCCACCTGAATCCAGGTGGGGAACTGGGTTTTTTTTGGTTGTTGTTGCAAAAGGGTACGGGGAGTATATATATTTAAAGAAAGATAATTTATAATGTACAACAGCGGTACCGAGGGCTAGTAATTGGTTTAGATTTGGTATTGTTTCTATTCTTTAGTTACGTGAGCTCACAGTTTTGTTTAGGTAGATTTAATCTAATGCAACAAGGTTGGCCGAGGCAGGCCACAGCTGTTAGTGTCTTATAGGCCATTTTGTGCGGCACTGAAATAACAGGAACATTGTTGGCTGAAGAAAGGAAGGTGATTTAGAAGATATGATGTTAATATTTCGAGTGTTTGATAAATAACATATTCAAAAGTATATTGAATATTATGGGATAAATTTATCTTTTTAATATATTAATATAAAAGTGAACATATATTTTTATTTAAATTAATAAAATAAATAAATACTTGTTACAAAAAAATTATATAGTCCAGATATATAATAAATGTAAAATATAATTACATAAATAAATATAAAATAATTTTTAAAAATAAAGAAGTAAGATTTTATTTTATAAATAATGTTGATTGTTTTTATTAAATCATGTTGGTAATTTTATTGTGTTAGATGATGTCATAAGGTACTTTAATCATTTTAAAAAATATATTAGTATATCATCATAAATATTAAAATATTAATACTATCGTGTGATAATATTAGTATTTGTGAATTTGGAATGCACCATCCAGCTTAAATATGATTTTAAAAAATATTAAATATATATTTATATTTGTAATATGCATTTGAGTCTTTAATGCATATTTTAAATATGTTTTCAAATGCATGGGCTCTTGAACATTTCAAATCTGTTTTCAAATACATGCATTGAAATGTGTTTTCAAATACCAGTGATTTAAATTTTATTATGTTAGATGATAGTGGGGATTCAAATCACATTGATTTAAATGTGCTCTTGATGAGGATAAGACTCACGTGACATCAGCTGTATCAGATGATGTCTCGCCTCGATCGACGTGACAACACCCGGTCAAACGAACCAGAACGTCGGTCGAGGTGCATTAACGCCTGCTCAGGCTCAGTTCTTCACGTCACGCAAACACCAGTGTCAGACGTTACCAACTTGCCTCCTACAAGCGGGCATATCAGGAAGCAGTAAGGTTTACTATAAATATCCTTGTATTCTAAACGGGAAGAGGGGAGTGACACAAAAAGAAAAGATCTCTTCAACTGAAACCCCCTTCACATCCACTAACTTGATCGTTGGAGGGGTCGGGCCGAGCTCCCCGACCCGACCTTTGTGCAGGTGCGAAGGTCGAGGTCTCCCGCTAAACATCCAGGCGAGGAGCCCCTTCCCGGAGGAAACGACGACCACGCCTCGATCGGACCACCGTAATCGGCCACCTCAGCGGGCTCAAGCGACGCCCCAAGGAGATCCCCATCGTTCAGACCTGAACCAAGCCGCGTCGGTCCCGACTCGACTTTTGTGCAGGTGCGAAGGCCGAGGTCTCCCGCTAAACATCCAGACGAGGAGCCCCTTCCCGGAGGAAACGACGACCACGTCTCGATCGGACCACCGTAATCGGCCACCTCAGCGGGCTCAAGCGACGCCCCAAGGAGATCCCCATCGTCCGGACCCGAACCAAGCCGCGTCGGTCCCGAGGCCACGGCTCTAAGTTGTTTACACCAACACTCTCAAATGTTGCACGCATAAAGGATAGGAGCGATATCATCAATTATAGAAAATGATCCCCACCATCCTATCCTTTTATGCGTGCAGCATTTGAAATCACATTTAAATCACTGTGATATCTAGTAATCCAACATCCAGAAACATAGGAGTGATATCATCAACTAGAGAAAATGATCCCCACCATCCTATGTTTCTGGGTGTTGGATTATACTAGATATCGATAGAAAGCCGAGGGTATCAAAGAACTAATGACAGTTCAAATCGAGGCTGAGCTGGGTGGGCCAGGAGTGATGGGTCTGCCCTAAGTCCGTGGTCCGTTGCTAGCCATTAATGGACCTTGTTTTGTATAGTCGTCGGAACGAACGATGCAGCACGGTCCACAAGGTTAGAGCTGGATATTGGAGACAAACAAGTGAAACCAAATAGTAACCTAGCCTTTTCGTAAGCAACAACCATGTGTATGATGGATATAATCAGCAATGTCACGAGCTAACAACGGTGTCAGGCTGTAGAACAACAAACGAAATAGCTGCATCCCCTTAAACGCATCAGATGGATGGAGTGTTTCGAGCCAATAGGCGCGTCATCTCTTTTCTCTTGGATACGATCATCAACGTGGATCCAGACAGCATACGACGCGGCCAGCGACTAGTGTAGACACACTCACCACCCCCACGCACTCATCCTTCCACGTCTGGCTTGCGGCCCGCGACGGAAATGGATCGTTCTTGAAGGGTCCCACTCGGCGCGCGTGTCGTGACAAACCTGGCACCACCACAAATGTCTTGCAACGGCGCACGCAACTTGAGGGCCCCGTAGGCTTTCACGTGGTTGGACTTGTGAACCTCATCCGCATCAGCGACCGGCGAGTGGAGGGCGGAGACGGAGACGGACGACGGTGACGGCGAGATTAGGATGGAATGGACTACCTTCTCTTTTGTTGTTTGGCTCTGCGACGAGGCCAACGAGCGAGGTGAGGAAGACACGTCACCTCCACACACTCGTGATACCTCGAGTCCTTCCAAAGAGGACAGCGGACGTTGACCTCGACTACAAGAGCTGCTCAGCTCGTCATGTCATCCGAGTTACATCACGTCCCTGTCTGCATCCCCATGACACTGCTGACGTTTCTTCGCCTGCTCCAGCGATTCAAGCGAGAAAAAAAACCAAGAACAAACTTGTGACCGGGGGGTCAATCTTGGCAGCCACTCCCTGGGTCGGTCGAGAGCACGCTGTGATTCGAACCGTGCAGTAAGTGCCCCTCCCTCCTGGGCAGGCGGCGTAGGTCGGACGACCCTTCTTAACTCGCGAGTGCCCCACTTACCATTATTCCTTGGGGCCGACCAAGTGTCAAAGTAGTCGCTTCGGAATGCTTCAGACTTTGAGCTGCATCATAGGAT